GGGAGCAGCCACTGCACTCCAGTCTGGGCGACAGAGTGAGACTCCAGCTCAAAAAAACAACAACAATAACAAAAAAAACTCTGGATGTCTTTTATGGGTTACCCTGATGCCTACAACTTTTAGGTATCTTTAGAGATGTCAGAGTCTTAGAGTCAAATAATGATAATGTAAGGTACCAATGAGCAGGAAACCTTCCTATCCACACACCTCAAAGTTTGAATAATGCCAAGACAGTAACAACAGCTAAGCTATTCTGGGGGGCTACCTACTCACAGATTCTGTGAGAGTTCTATATCCCAAACAAAGTTTGTAGAAACTTTTCATGCCTTCCCCATCACAAAAACAACAAAAATAAAAACAAAGGGCTGAGAAAGTTGTCTACAGAACTCCTGAACTGCAGGAATAAAGAAATGTATAAGGGACCCTGTATAAGGGACCCTGAAATCATCGAAATAGTTATTTGGATCTCTAGGGACAGCCAGGCTGTGAACTGACATCCATTGTGACATAGATTGCCAAAAACCAACCTCTGAACAACATATATCCAGGGTGCGAGGTCCCTGGTTGAGAATGCCCCAGTGGGCATCAAGTCAGTAGACTCCTCCAGGGATACAGAGCAGGATACTACATGCTTCTGGGAGGCAAACAATTGTTACAATTGGGACAAGTGTGAAATAATTCCAGAAGTAGACCTCACTCATTAAATATAAACTACAGGTATTTTTCCTCTTTCTAGTTTACAGGAATAACAGTTATTTATTAGAGGAGAGGGTAGGAGAGAAGTATCATACCATGACACAAAAATCTCCCCATTTGGAAAAGCAAGCATGAACTTTACAACTGACACTGAAAATCACTTTCACAAAAATGAGACCATGTCAAGAAACTAATCCATTAACTGATTTAATAATTTTGCCCAGTTCCTACATTACTCTGCCTTGATTAAGATGGAAATTCTTGACTATGCTCAAGTTATCACTAGGAGTACAGCCTTACTTTCCAGTTTTATCTAGAGAAAAATGAGGCATGAAAGCAAACATGAAAACTACTCTAGGTCAATTTACTCTAACCAGTTATACAGAGAATTACACATAAGCAAAAATAATCTTTATAGATTTAAATGTTCAGTTATTTTATCCTTTCCTCTAGATTACCAAAGTCCAATTAACAACCAAAAACAACATAATTCAGAGAACTTCCAACAAAATAAGTGCATTTACTTCATGGAAAGTTATAATATAAATCATCATTAGATAAAATTTGGATTTCAAACTCTGTAGTGTATATATTTAAACATATGATTAACTAAAAAAGAAACATGACTAATTTTTTTCACTTAACATACTAGAATATACATGGGCACCTCTAGAAAGATTGAACTCCAAACATTTCTCAACTGCCATAAAATATGTGAAATATGTCATAGTACAAAAGGCCAGCTACTATAATTGTAGAATGTATTACAATGCCAAGAACACATCTCTTCTCACTATGGGAACACGAGACCTGGCCTTTTGGTGGCCTCATGCTTCCCCTCAATTGGCACTCAAGTAGGGACTGCACCCCCAGTTCAGAACCACAGGTATAGATCGCTACAGCCTGTCCATGGGGTTGCAAGTAAAGAGGGAGTTTCAGGATTTGTGCACCTGGTAGCTAGTTCCTAGCCCAAGCTGTGCTGGCACATGTTTCTTCACTTATTCCCAAACCTTCCCAACTCGAGGGCCCTGTTGAGTTCCCTCCCTCACTATCCACTTGCATCACAGCCTGTTTCTGACCAGGGTCAAAACAGAACAAGCCTCATGATGTTTCCCGATCCTCCATCCCTGACAGAAGTTTAGATGTTTTAAAGAAAGGCTGTTTCTGAGGTGCGGGGGCCAAATGACTACTATCTCTTGCCAATGAAATGTGGGCAGAAGTGACATCATTTCCATGTCGGGGCACACAATCTCTTTCCTCTGTCATCTACAAGGTAAGTGCAAATGAAGGTTTAGAAGATGGGATGGTCACAAAATGAAATAAAGTTGGGTCACTAAATGTCTCTGTGAAGTACAGCCCTGCCCCCCCCTTGGCCTTAGATTAAATATGAATAAGAAATGAATTTATATTGTCTTAAGACACTGAAGCTTAGGGCTGTTATTTCAGCAGTTAGCTATTTCTGTGTTTCTATAACAGCTCGAGATTTTGTGTTAGTTTTGGCATTCTGACCATAATACCAATCCCTGACTACATTGTGCCTTCTATTGGTAACTCTCCACATTGCTTATTACACGTTCAAATACATAATGAGTACAGTTTCCAAATATAGGACAGCAATTGCCCATTTTTATGGATGTTCTCCACCTTTCATAGAACACCCCATGTACCCACTACTAAGATACTTATCAAGACTGTAGGTTCTAACTCATGATGAGCCTGTTAGCCTTCCTAAATGCACAACTGCCAAATCCAGTCAGCAAACTTGCTGGGCAAGGATGCCACGCATGAAAGGAATCAAGCAAAAGAACCTGGAGATCTCTGCAAAGTCACTGACTCTGCTGAGGAATATATAACAATAATGAAACTTAAATACTGATCATCTTAAAAGTTTATTGTAATTAAGCGGTTTCCTTTGTTTGTTTTTAGTTGGGGTCTCATTCTGTTGCCTCAGCCTCTCAAGGAGCTGGGATTACAGTCACACCCCCGCCTCCCCATGACCAGTTTTATTTTTTTGTAGAGATGAGGTCTAGTTATAT